CTCCGCCCCCTGGGTTCAGGCAATTCTCCTGCCTCAGCCTCCTGAGTAGCTGATTACAGGCACACACCACCATGCCCAGCTCATTTTTTGTAGTTTTAGTAGAGACGGAGTTTCACCATGTTGACCAGGATGGTCTCGATCTCTTGACCTCGTGATCCACCCGCCTCGGCCTCCCAAAGTGCTGGGATTACAGGCGTGAGCCACCACGCCCGGCTCTTTTTGTTCTTTTTTGAGAAAGTCTTCCTCTTGTCATCCAGGCTGGAGTGCAATGGTGTGATCTCAGTTCACTGCAACCTCTACCTCTGGGGTTCAAGCAATTCTTCTCCTGCCTCAGCCTCCCCAGTAGCTGGGGTGACAGGTGCCCGTTACCACGCTCAGCTAATTTTTTTTTTTTTTTTGACCAAGTTTCACTCTTGTTGCCCAGGCTGTAGTGCAATGGCTCAATCTCAGCTCACTGCAACCTTCGCCTCCTGGGCTCAAGCAATTCTCCTGCCTCAGTCTCCCGAGTAGCTGGGATTACAGGCGTGCGCCACCACACCTGGCTAATTTCGTATTTTTAGTAGAGATGGGGTTTCTCCGTGTTGGTCAGGCTGGTCTTGAACTACCAACCTCAGGTGATCCACCTGCCTTGGCCTCCCAAAGTGCCGGGATTACAGGTGTGAGCCAGCATGCCTGGCTAATTTTTGTATTTTTAATAGAGACAGGGGTTTGCCGATGTTGGCCAGGCTAGTCTCGAACTCCTGATAGCAGGTGATCAACCTGCCTCGGCCTCCCAAAGTATTGAGATTACAGGTGTGAGCCAACCCACCCGACCCATAAAGGGACCAACAGTGTCTGGTCTCAGCCTGGGCAGCAGAGCAAGACACTGTCTCTACAAAAAATTTTAAAAATTAGCCGGGTGTGGTGACACATGGAGGCTGAGGCGGGAGGATTGCTTGAGCCTGATGAGCTATGATTTTGCCATTGCACTCCAGCTTGAAAGACAAATGAGACTCGGTCTCAAAAAAAAACAAAAAAACACAAATATAACAAGTTATGTAAGAATATTAAATAAGGGCCGGGCGCGGTGGCTCAAGCCTGTAATCCCAGCACTTTGGGAGGCCGAGGCGGGTGGATCACGAGGTCAAGAGATCGAGACCATCCTGGTCAACATGGTGAAACCCTGTCTCTACTAAAAATACAAAAAATTAGCTGGGCATGGTGGTGCGTGCCTGTAAGCCCAGCTACTCAGGAGGCTGAGGCAGGAGAATTGCCTGAACCCAGGAGGCGGAGGTTGCGGTGAGCCAAGATCACGCCATTGCACTCCAGCCTGGGTAACATGAGTGAAACTCCGTCTCAAAAAAAAAAAAAAAGAATAAATAACCGGGCACAGTGGCTCACACCTGTAATCCCAGCACTTTGGGAGGCTGAGGGGGGTGGATCACGAGGTCAGGAGTTCGAGATCAGCCTGAGCAAGATGGTGAAACCTCGTCTCAACTAAAAATAAAAAAAAGAAAATTAGCTGGGCATAGTGCTACACTCGTGTAGTTCCAGCTACTCGGGAGGCTGAGGCAGAAGAATTGCCTGAACCCAGGAGGTGAAGATTGCAGTGAGCCAAGATCGTATCACTGCACTCCAGTCTGGGCGACAGAGTGAGATTCTGTCTCAAAAAAAAAGAAAAAGAATAAATAAATTGCAAAGGGTCTGGGGTGCTGGGCATACCCCTCCCTCTGGTCCAGGCTGTCAGTTCCGGGGTTGACTCTTCCCCACATCTCCCAGCCTGTGGGAAACTCCACTATAAGTAAAGCAGGATCAGGGTGTGCAGAGCCTTGGAGCCCATGGAAGCTGGAGCTCCCCAGAGTGTTTTGCACTACCAGTTGGTCAAGAGTGGGTCGTGCTTGGCAGGCTGGGACACCCTAGGACCTGGGGCCATTTCTGCATATTCTAGTGTGACTAAACATGCCACAACTGGGGGCTTGGGGCAGTGCCTCATCCCTGTAATTCCAGCACTTTGGGAGGCTGAGGCAGGCAGATCACTTGAGGTCAGAAGTTCGAGACCAGCCTGGCCAACATGGCAAAACTCCATCTCTACTAAAAGTACAAAAATTAGCCAAGAGTGGTAGCATGCGCCTGTGACCCCAGCTACTCAGGAAGCTGAGGCATGAGAATCGCTTGAATCCTGAAGCGGAGGTTGTAGTGAGCCGTGATTGCACCACTGTACTCCAGCCTGGGTGACAGAGGGAGACTCCATCTCAAAAAAAACAAAAAGATGCCACAATTGGACCCAACCGTTTCTTTGCTGAGCTCAAGGAGACACCTTTATCAGGCTCATGGAGATAAGTTTGCACCCAGTATAGGTGCATAGGGATCACAGCTGCAGCAAGGCTGGGGATGTTTCTTTTTTTGAGACGAGGTCTCACTCTGCTACCCAGGCTGGAGCGCAGTGGTGCGATCACAGCTCATTGCTGCCTTCCCAGGCTTGAGTGATCCTCCCACCTCAGCCTAGTGAGGAGCGAGGAGTACAGGCCTCTGCCAGCAGGCCCTGCTAATTTAAATAAATTTTTTCTTTCATTTTTTTTTGAGACGGAGTTTCGCTTTTGTTGCCCAGGCTGGAGTGCAGTGGCACGATCTCAGCTCACTGCAACCTCTGCCTCCCGGGTTCAAGCAATTCTCCTGCCTCAGCCTCCTGAGTAGCTGAGATTACAGGCACACGCCACCACACCTGGCTAATTTTTATATTTTTTAGTAGAGATGGGGTTTTACCATATTGGACAGGCTGGTCTCGAACTCCCAACCTTATGATCGGCCCACCTCAGCCTCCCAGTGTACTGGGATTACAGGCATTAGCCACTATGCCTGACCTCTAAAAAATTTTTTTAAACAGATAGGGTTTTGCCATGTTGCCCAGACTGGTCACAAACTCCTGGGCTCAATCAGTCCTCCCACCTCGGATGCCCAAGGTGCTGGGATTATTGGTGTAAGCCACTGTGCCTAGCCAATTTTTTTTTTTTTTTTTTTTTTTATTT